TAAATTTTTACATTTTGAATTTTCTCTTGAATTTGTGCGGGCAGGGATGACCATTTTACAGCTTTTTAATGCCAGTTCTGCTTCAGAAAATTCTTGATTGATAAAGCTGTTTATTACTGAGCCAATTTTTAAATCTATCGAATTCTCTTTTACTTTCTCAAGTTATAATTTTTATCCAACTTTGTGTATTTCATTAATTAATCATGCTTAATACTGATTTATTTACTTTTTTGTTCGAAATCCTATGTTGACTCTCAACTTTATCTTTCATTCAAATTCTGAATAATAATAAAGTGTTTTCTGTTGGAGGCTAGAAATTATCTTATTTATAGTCTATGATGAGTTAATCTACATAACTGAGATGTCGTTGGCCACAAGACCCTGTTTTCAGGGAGAACCTACTTGCGGCTGCTACATCATAGCATGAAATCACTGGAAATCTCTGAGGCTATATAATCTACTAAAAATGGTTTTTGCTGACTCTAATTTATTAGAAACAATGCTTATTGATAAAGCTGTATATTTCTTAGCCAATTTTTTAAATTTATTGAATTCTATTTTATTTTCTCAAATTATAATTGTTTTCTGACATTTTACTTTTCATTAATTAAATTTTGTTCTTATTACTGATTTATTTATTTGTTTGGTTCAAAATCCAATATTGACTCAACTCTGTGAATAATAATAAACAGTGTTTTGTGTTGGAAGCTAGAAATTATCTTATTTTTGCAGTCGGTGATGAGTTAATCCACATAATTGAGATGTGGCAGGTTCTTTAGCTGCTTTTCTTTGCATGCTGCTGAGGAATTTGGCTAAGAAGAACAAGCTATTAGTGGGGGAATTTTTGCAATTCTGATGTATAAATTTTCAATCAAGAGTGCCAATGATGTTAACGTTGGATAGTAAATGAGGTGTAGTTAAGCCAAGTCCTCCCTGCTTTTGCAGGGATACCAGCTTGGTGGAGCTACATTACATGTGATCAAAGCTTATCCTTCTGAGGCGAAGAGAAATTCTAAATAT